GTCACTCTTGTAGTAACTTTTGACGAGGAATTCAATGGTGACCTTGGATTTGACCTTGACGATGACCTTGAAGGTTATTTCAAGGTCAGCTCAATTTTTTTAAATGGAAACCCCCTTTTTTGACGTCGGCAATCGAAAGAGCGGGAAATTTTACGTCCAAAAACATTATAAGGCCATAAATCGTGGTTGACCTTGAAGGTCATTCAAAGGTTATTTAATTTTGAGGACTGGATATCTTCGAAGAACGCAGTTGATGAAAATAGCTTACTTTAGTTATTTTGTTTAATTGCAATTAGTGGTGACCTCAAACTCGACCTTGTTGGTGTCCTTCAAGGTTATTTCAAGGTCAAATTTTTTTTCTAAAAACCTCATTTGTCGTCGGCAATTGAAAGAGTGGAAGTTTTCATACTTTTACTTACGTGAGAGGCAAGGGGACTCACGATAATAAACCACCCCAACGTAAGAGGCAAGGGGACTCACGATAATAAAGCACCCCAACGTGAGAGGCAAGGGGACTCACGTTAAGCAAGCACCCCAAAGGAAACAGTCCTTACTACATCCCCGCCGTTGTTTCTGGGTAACGCTAAAAGTAAAAGTATGAAAACTTCCGCTCTTTCAATTGCCGACGACAAATGAGGAGGTTTTCAGAAAAAAAAACTTGACCTTGAAATAACCTTGAAGGACACCAACAAGGTCGAGTTTGAGGTCACCACTAATTGCAATTAAACAAAATAACTAAAGTAAGCTATTTTCATCAACTGCGTTCTTCGAAGATATCCAGTCCTCAAAATTAAATAACCTTTGAATGACCTTCAAGGTCAACCACGATTTATGGCCTTATAATGTTTTTGGACGTAAAATTTCCCGCTCTTTCGATTGCCGACGTCAAAAAAGGGAGTTTCTATTTAAAAAAATTGAGCTGACCTTGAAATAACTTTCAAGATCATCAAGGTCAAATCCAAGGTCACCATTGAATTCCTCGTCAAAAGTTACTACAAGAGTGACCTTAACATTTTTCAAAAATAATTTACCTGGGAAATTATTCAGGTGTT